AATTCAGGTCCGGTTTAGGTCAATTGAGTCCGGTTTAGGGCAATTCAGACTAGTTTAGGCTTGTTTAGGTCTTGGTTAAGGTCTGATTTGTCTGGGAAGGGCTAGAATTGTTCGGTTCAGACCAATAGGGTCTGATTGGAGTTGAATTAAGGCTGGTTTAGACTGGTTTAGGTCTAATGTAAGGGTATGTTCGTCCAATTAGGCTAGAATTAGACCGTATAGGTCAATTGGGTCCGGTATTAGGTAAGATCAGATCGATTTTAGGCTGGTAGAGGTCTGTTTAGGATCTGATTTATCTAGTTAGGGCTGGTATTGGTCGGGTTAGGATCTGAATTCGTGGTTTAGGACTAGATTAGGTCAGTTTGGGGTCTGGAGTGTGTAATTAGGACTAGAACTAACTGGTTTAGGGTTAGATTGGTCCATATAGGTCTGATGGTGTCTGGTTTAGGGCATAGTGGACTAATTGAGGGTAGATTAGGGTCTGTAGTGATCGGTTTACCCTGCTAGGTTGGTCTAGTACTTAATTTGGCTTGGTTTAGTGAAAATTCACTAGGGTTAGACCTGTTTATATCTCGGTGTGCTAATGTAGGTCATAGATTCCGGTTTTCTGTTCAGTATAGGACTGAATAGGTTGGATTTGATGACGTTTAGCTGGGTAAGAGGTCTGGGTAGACAAAAATAGGCTGGTATAGGTCTGAGATTGACTAGTTTAGGTCGGTATAGATCTGTAAGTGTTGTTTTGTGTCTTGGTTAGGTCTGCTTTAGCCAAATTTGGGTTAGTCTAGCTTAGTCTAGGTCTGATCAGTAGGTAATTAAGTCAAAATAGGCTTGGTTAGGTCTGATTAGAGGTTTAGAATGTCTATAGAGACATTGTCTAGGTCTGATCAGATTAAAATCTGATTATAGATTTAGGTATTATCTAGTTTAGGACTAGATAGGACTCCTAAGTACCAGTTTTGAGTCATAGAGTCCGGTACATTGACCGGTTAGGTCTGATTAGTTGGGATTTGACTAAAACGGGTTGGTATAGGGGTTGGTTATGTCTAGGATCACTAGGTATAGGTCTGTAGGGATCAATTTAGATCAGGGCAGGTCTGTAGGAGT